GTGACAATGCTGAGGTTCTCACCCTGATACGGACTGCCAATGTCCGTCTTCATCCCGTCCGGCTCTTCGCTTCTAGTTCTGTGTTACTGGCACGCGGGCCGCGGCTGGCGTATCTGAATCTGAATACCAAGAAATATGAACACTTCAGAAGTTCCTCGCCAAGCAGCCCAAAGCATCCATCAGTGCGGACCAAGTCGGTTGATCGATTGGTTGCCGCCAAGTCGGTCCAACTCAACTGACAAATGATGCCTTTCTGGTAGGTTGGTTTGCGGGTGGCCAGGTACTGCATCCTCTCACCTGATTCTGGAATCTGAATTCCTTGGTGTAGCTGATGATGAGATTTGCCTCCTTTCTGATGAATTGTAAAATTTGACCATTCATATCATAAGAAGCAATCACTAAAGTACCACAGTACCTACGAAAAGTAGTTGTAGCTAGGTATTATCAATGATGAATCAAGATTGACCCCAGACTATGGGGGGGCACTTAGCGTAGGGTCTCAGTCACCGCGCTCGTCGCTGATCGCTCGTACAAAATGTAACGTGATGTCGACAACAAGCTTTGCCAGCCCTCTCGGCCGTTCTCTCCGTGTGTCTCTATCAAGTCTCGGCTCTGCTCTCGGCGCTGCCGTCTGTTCTTGGAGCCTGAAGGCCGCTGCGCCCAGCGCGCCCATCCCGTCGCGGCGTCGCCTTGACTCAACGCTCTCACTGTTCTCATGAAGCGCCATGGCGCCCGCAAGCAATGTCAAGCATTTGCCGTTGCAAGCCTCTGCTAGCCTTGCAGCCTTCAGCTAGGCAAAAGCTCGGCGAAACTGGGCATTTTCTGGACAGAGTTGTGCGGCGCGACAAAAACAGACATCCTGATAAACCTCCCCGCCGTGCCGCCCTCACGTCTTACCGCGACGGGACATGGCTCGCACGTTATGAGAAACTGGCGCTCGGGGAGGCACGCGGAGAGTTTCCAGGGCCCTCTGGCGCTCGTAAACCCGTTCAAGCCCCCCGGACGCCACCTGCGTCGTGCTAACCAGGGGGACTTGTCCTCGCATTCTCACCCGTCCTACCCGTCACTGACGACTCCATTGCCGTGCAGGCGTTCGTCCCAATGAAAGATACCTCTCCTACACCCCCTGGTTTGTGTGGCTTGCAATTAATCTTGGATTTCGATGTTGCCTCGTGAAACTCGATTTCTGAGCTCGACGGCGTGAATGACAACTGGAGACAATGAGCCCACCGAGGTTTGAGGCAGGAGGTACAATACCAACAGGATGGACAGAGTCTATTAGAAGGTGCCCATGAGAACTTATGAGGGCTATCGGTTCCCTAGTAAAGCCTACCACCCCGTTATCAAGACAATTGCAATGTGATTCCTATTCGTACTAGTAGTGGTCTGGTATCGGCGGGTCTCGGGCTTCGTCCCGCTCTGGACGACTCGAGAGGCTACGATATCCAAGGTAGCGGCCAAGAAGAATGAAGTGAATGATCATAATCGTGTGAGGATCTCTCAAGCTGTACAAAGTGCTCCCTTTAGACCACCAGTCGACAACCCGGATATAATTCAGGCAGGCTTCTATTCGTTATTCCCTCTTATCGGAAGTTCGGCCAGCCGTGGGTTAGCTGAAGCCTGAAGGATTGGCGAGAGGGCTGGTTCGTGGGACATTGCCGTGCTGATTGCATGCGACATCCCGCGTCGCACATGCTGTGAGTGGTGCGCCCATCTCTACTCAGGCCACTGGTAATCTGACAATCTGGCAACCCACACCCATCTGAGAGGGAGACCTGGGTCGCCCGACCTCTCAGACTTCAGGTTCAATGTTCCCATCGTGTCGGCGTCTGTCTGGCCCGTGCAGTGGTTGCCCCCATGGAGGAAGTGCAGAAAGTAGACACGCGACACCGAGACCACTGCCCTACCCATCACCTTGGTGCTGTGTACGGAGTTTGCTGCGTGCGGGCTTTGATCCATCATCTCGCGGGGTTCAATATGAGAATGAGAGAGGCGAACTTTTGAAGAGAAGCCTCGGCGGCGCTACTGGTGTATACTAGCAACCCAAACATGAAGCCAAGAAGACAAGCAATGAGGCGAAGCTTGGAGCATGCTTGCAACCGAGTCTTGGCTCTGGACGAAAACGAGGGAGACGGAGACGGGGGCACTTTTGAAGAGGCCAACTCGCTAGGACATGAAGCCAAGACCGTATATTTCATTGCCCGTTGTCTGGGCGGTCGTGAAGGGAATACCACCTTTCCTTTTGGTCTCTTGAACCCCATATAATCCTGTGGGCACATGTCAAGTGTCATCTCTGGAGTAAGAAGCCGTGCCCGTTGCCATTGCCCAGGAGTCTGGCACCGTTGACTAAGAGACCTTCCGGGCATTGGGGTGTCTGGGCGGGCTTCCGCTCCCACATTCCCCCAAACTCCCCAAGTCCCAACGACGCCAGTCCTTCAAGTCTGCACAATTTCGGCGGTATCCAGTGGATCGTAAGCAGTCCGATACGATTCTCCCGTCCGACTGGTCCATCTCAAGAGCCAGAAGCTGATCCATCATCCAAAAGGACCTTTCGATGGGGCCGTTCCAAGAACTGCAGACAAAAATCCCCCGGGGTGTCTGGCTGAACCGGGTATAGCCTCGCTCCGGAACCAACCAAACAGGGGAGGACGTGGGCGTCGCGACATTAAGCTCATGGGCCATTGCTACGGCTCTTATCGTTTGGGAAGGTCGCCGGGGGACTAGTGCCACGGCAGAGAGCTGCAACTAAAGTGTTTGACCGGACTATTCCATGCGGTCCATCTGTGAGCAACCAGCTGTACTAGGAACGCGTACGCAGACTGTGGGTAGCACGACGCGACTTTATCTGGAGGAGTTGAAGTGTAGGAAGAGATGAGAGAGAAACCGCATTTTCAGTCAGCTAGATAGCTAGATAGGTAGAGTCAAACTACGCACGAGACTAAACGGTATCATCGTCTGCAAAAGTAGAAAGAGAGTCATGATGGGCACATGCGGCATTCCTCGGCCTTTGCCTTCGTTTGCAAACTCAATTGCCCATTCAACCCCTCTCCAGCCCTAAGCCAAGACCGTTTACACCCATTCAACCACTACGGTGGCCTCGGTAGCAGCATCACCTTCCCTTTCCCGTGCCCTAGATGAGTCTTGGCAGAGCGTATCATGAACGAGGGGGGGGGCGGCGATGATTTGAGATGCGCCTTCGCATCATCGGGCATCCCCTCCCAAACTTCACCAATCGACTAGTGATCCGTTCATTGGTAACGACTACGGAGTACTGTGTAGATTTAGTAGAATTGAACAATGCGATTCGTAGTGTACTAAAAAAGGCCCCTAATCAACGGCAATCCTTCGCGTGGCGCATTAACGAATCAAGACCTCGGCGTGGCACTCGGTTATCACCAGGCCACCCACCCCCTATGCTCTCCCTTCCCGTCCATCGTGCAGGACGGCGTCAGGCATACCAGGACCAACTTTGTTCTCGAAGCCACGCCAGAAGCCAAGTCGCAGCTAGGCCTGCGGCAGGCTTCAGGCTGGCGCTCTCCCGTGAGCCGAAGTGAACGCCAAAACACGTCTGGTCATTGATGTTACACCACCACACCAACACTGGCAACACAGAGCCAACGAGCATTTTTTTCGTGCCAACACTGATAGAGAAGTCAGGTCCGGGAGACGCGCCAATGAAGATGCTCGATGAGATGGGGTGGCGGCGATGCCAAGGTCGATCAACGTTACCGCCGAGCCCCTTGGCTGTCGCATTTCACCGTCCAAGGGACTCAAGCTCTCACCACTTTGTCGCTCTGCTGGCTGACTTTTCCCGAGTCTGGCAGGCAGATTCTGCAAACCTGCTGATATCAGATAGAGCCGGCCGAGTTCAGCTGTTTGCCCGGGTTCCACGACGCGCGAATCAGATGCTCTCCCCAGAGTGTGTATGCAACAAGGCGAACTCAACTCTGGCTGTCTCTCTCCCACTCTGTCTCTCATCTCTGGTGTTAACCCCAGACCGACACCAGCTACGCCGCCGCCTATCTGCTACTCTCTGATCCTCGACCTGCCTAATCGGGCCATTTGTCCTGAGCCCATCACGGTCCATCATATCCATCAGGGCCCATCGTCTTCCTCTCGTTGGAGCTGCCCACCACCCACAACTGGTGTCTGTCTCGGTCCAGCCTGGCGTGGAATCCGTGGACTCTCACCTGTGGGATCGTTCTGTTGCAACAGATCCCTTCAGCTTTTCCCTGCGACCTGCATCGTCCTGCGCGCGCTGGCCGCCTGTCTCCGGTTCTGATCCCCCCTGCACCGTCCCAAACGCCCGACCTTGACCCCGTCGTCCCCGACGTTATTATCTTCGTGGTGTGGTACTCCGCGTTTCTCTGTTCTTTGCAACACAACCAAGTAGAGAAAGAGGTAGCGTGTATGGTATCCTCTCGTGTCCTGTCCCGTGGCGACGGTTCTGGGCGAGATGGACGGTCCCCTCTCTTCCTTCTCGACGGCTCCGTCGACGCCCACGCACGAACCCTGGACCCAGGAACCTTGTTGACATCGAGGCAAACCTTACCTCCTCCACGATTGGCCCGTCCCATGCCATCCCATGCCACCACCGTCTTCCCTCCGTGCTAGACGTCTGCCCATGTCCATGTCATCCAACCCCCGTCCTTTCCCCACCACGTCCAGGCGCTAGAGTATCTCGCCCATGTCTGTGTATCTGCGGATACCTACCGGCTGCCGAATGCAGCTGTGATGCGACCTCCTGCTGTCGCGGACCCGGGAATATAAAGCATCTCTCATGAGACGCTCCCTCACTCATGGCTCTCTCCTTCCCTCCTCTCTCGCGATCAGCAGCCCTTCATCCACGGCCAACAGCTCAGGTCCAAGTTTGACCCACCTGTCAATTTGCTGTCAAAGACTCGTTAACTCGTGTCTTTCGCTATCATCACTCGCGGAGCCTCTTGTACCAAACCTCTGGTTCCTCACCCCGCTCCAGAAACTTTCCTCCAACTCAAGCCATGAGTAACGCCGGAGGCCTTCAGGACGATGTCCTGGCCAAGGCTCACGTTCCCCAGGCCACTGTGCAGGGCACCTCGAAGGAGACTCGCGGCTCATTCGACGTGACCGCCGCCGCCGCCCCTCCCCTCGAAGACAACTACTACGACTCCAAGTCCGACGATGACTACGAGGATAAGCCCACCGAGGAGGAGTTGAACACGCTTCGCCGTGTCTCGGGTCCCATTCACTGGGGTATCTACACCATCGCCTTCGCCGAGCTTTGCGAGCGTTTCTCATACTACGGTTCCTCCGTCTTGTACACCAACTTCGTCATGCGACCCCTTCCTCCGGGTTCGACGACCGGCGCCACTTACGGCGCTGATATCCCCGCCGGTGCCTTGGGCATGGGTCAGAGAGCCTCTCAGGGTGTCTCTTTGGTGAACCAGTTCTGGGCTTACCTCGTTCCCCTTTTCGGGTATGTTGCTTCATGTGAATCCTTGCCGAAAAAATAGAGACTGACTAGTTAATCCAGTGGTTGGTTGGCCGACTCCAAGCTGGGTCGTTACAAGGTCATTCACATCGCCATCGCCGTTTCCACTGTCGCTCACATTATCCTGACTGTCGCCGCCGCTCCCTCCGTCATCTCCAAGGGCAAGGTCGCCTTCGCCCCGTTCTTCCTCGGTCTCTTCACTCTTTGCTGCGGTACTGGTCTGTTCAAGGCGAACATTTCTCCCCTGCTCGCTGAGCAGAACAAGGACACCCGCATGCGCGTTGAGACCCGCGGCGGCGAGCGTGTCATTGTCGACCCCTCCGTCACCAACACCCGTATCTTCCTGTGGTTCTACTTTGCCATCAACTGCGGTGCCGTCAGCGGTCAGATCTCCATGGTCTTCGTTGAGAAATACCACAGCTTCTGGCTGGCCTTCCTCCTGCCCACCATCCTCTTCCTCATCTGCCCCGTTGTCCTCTGGTCCAACAAGAAGAAGTACCACCTCACTCCCCCTACCGGCTCCGTTCTCGAGAAGTTCTTCCGCATGTCCAACTTTGCTGCGAAGCGCTCTGGCGGTATCACCAAGCTGAACTGGGAGAACGCGAAGCCCAGCAACGTCCCCGTTGCTGAGCGCCCCGGCTGGTTGACTTACGATGACGCCTGGGTTGACGAAGTCCGCCGTGGTCTCAAGGCCTGCAAGGTCTTCCTCTTCCTGCCCATCTTCTTCCTCGCCTACAACCAAATGACCAACAACTTGACCTCCCAGGCTGGTTCTATGGTCCTGAACGGTGCCCCCAACGATGTTATCCAGAACTTGAACCCCCTCTCCATCATCATCATGATCCCCATCCTTGATCACCTTGTCTACCCCGGTTTCCGCAAGATGGGTTTCAACTTCACTCCCATCAAGCGTATGACCACTGGTTTCTTCTTCGCCGCCGCCGCCATGGTTGCCGCCACCGTCATGCAGCACTACATCTACCAGATGTCTCCTTGCGGCAACCTGGCCACCATCTGCGAGGAGGGTCCTGCTCCCATCAACGTCTGGGCTCAGTGTCTCCCCTACGTTTTCGTCGGTCTCGCTGAGATCTTCACCAACGTCACCTCGTACGAGTACGCTTTCTCCAAGGCCCCCGAGAACATGAAGTCCCTTGTCATGTCCGTCAACTTGGCCATGAGTGCCGTCTCTGCGGCCATCGGCCAGGCCTGGACTCCTCTGTCCGAGGACCCCCTCCTCGTCTGGAACTACGCCTCCGTCGCCATCATCGCCTTCCTCGGTGGTGTCGCCTTCTGGTTCTGCTTCAAGCACCTTGACGGGGAGGAGGACGAGCTCAACCAGCTCAAGAAGACCAAGTTCCTTGGCTCCAACCAGCCCACTGCCGCGGCTCAGGACGACCAGGTCGCCCAGGCCCAAGTTTCTGAGAAGGTTTAAACCACTTATACCCAGAAATGTCCATGCTCTGCTTCTCCCTGTGAAGGAGCGTGTGTAACCTCATTTGGTTGTATGATTTCCCGCGTCAAATGATTCCCCGGCAGTTGGTCTTGCGGACTGGCTGTCAATACTCCTAGTTAGACAAGTGCACGATAATGCATATAATGAAAATACCTATTCCCCACGCATCAGTCTTATCGTGGTCAAAATGTGACTAAGCTTACTCGAATGAATCAAAGTGCCGTTTATCTGTTGTTGAGGGTTCCAGGCCAACACCGTGTAGATCAGCCGGTAAAAGAAATGCCTTTCCTGTCTGTTCTTGTCTAGTCTAAGGTAATTCCGTTTTCGTTATAAGCTGACGCAACGCCGAACTAGGCAAATGTGGTTAACGAACCTTACCTAAGTAATTGCCATTAGGCTTGTACAGACTAGCGTCGCTTGCGGCCAAATGAGATTTCTCGTCTTCCCATTAGCTGTAAGAACGAGATTGACACAGTTGATGTCCAGCAATCTCTTCCTTTCTAGTGTGTCCCAAACGTCATCCAGAATAATAGGCCGATATCATAATGACTTCAAACCACAGTGCTGAGCGTACCAATGACTGGCCAAGGTCATTCACTTCGAGCACTCTTGTGATGAAATTGAGTCAAGCTGCGAGCCTGCGTGCGTGGGTGGACCTGGGTAAGCGGATGGTGGGCACTTGCGAGTATTACATGCGCCATCTAGTATTCGTTCAGATCTTCGTCATCCGGAACATCCCAATCCTGCTTTGTGGCCACGACCCAGCGGCTGGCTTTCTTCAAGTGCGCGAGGGTTAAAGCCTGGATCTGGAAACTTTCTAAGCAGCAATAGCCTGTCATCCTCAACGGGAGGGTTGGAATACACATCGGGACCTACCGAAATAGGCACGCCGCGAGACTGTTCTCTAATAGAAGAGAAGCAATTCTCGGGCATGCCGAAGGATTTGGATCTTAGACATAAGCTCCAGAGGGTGCGCAACAGAAAGCCTCGAGTCAAATATTAGACATGGACCGAGGAGAGAGCACAATCAGAATAAGCTTTGCTTTCAGGGCACAAAAATAGTGTACAAGTCCACATGTGATGCGATGGAAGGCAAAAATATCAGGTGCAAATAGAAACCATCGAAAGTTATTCTCTAGTCTGTTTCTCAGAGCGTACTGCATACCTAGGTTGACAAGCACTTCGGGTTGGCTTCAGGGCGATGACGCGCAGGAAGTGTGACTTCTCGATGAACTGGAATTTGTGGATCGTTGTTTCTGTTCGTTTACACTATGATAAAGGAAAAGGTATTACGCTTATACTTTTGGGTGGTAGCCCGGGATATCTCGATGTTGCTTTGACTTAAGAAATCGAACGCTGCCCCTGAACTCCAGCTCTTGTCCAACATTGAGTCATCATACAAATTTCTTCTCAGACTATGGCCCCCTTGCTCAAAGGTTTCTCCCCGGTCCTGAAATCAGTCGAAGACCGAGAATCGTCCCCGACGCTGGTATTTGACTCGTATGTCAGGTTGACATTGGTTGTGCGGACAATGCCATTGTATGTCATAATTTCCTCCTCGGACCCAGAAGGTGACGTGCTTCGAATCTCTGTGTGATGTTGCGAGCGCGTCATACGCATGTCCTTCAGTGTGATGTTGTCGCCTTCTCGGACCGTGTTGCGAGGGCGAGAGGAATTCCCGTAGTACTTCAGGCCGCTGCTGCCGGTCTTGCCGGAGCTGATGGCACCGAAGAGCTTCGGCCACCACTTGCGGAACATGGGGCGTAGAGCCGGGGCGGATGCGGAAACGATGGCGAGGTTCACTTCAACAGTGTTGTAAACGACGCCGATGTCATAGAAGGGGTCTTTGTTGGGATCCGGGGGCACGTAGAAGAGCTTGTAAATAGCCACGAGGCGGATGATAGCGACGACGGTGACGCTGGTAGAGGACTTGTTAGCTCGGGGCAAGATTTTCGAAACCACAGATGTAAAGCTTACACTGCACCAACCAAGAAGACGCAGATGACAGCGATCTTCGCGCCCATGGGCATCTTTAAGCCCAGGAAGATCCAGAACGGCAACAACAGAACCAGCACATCCATCAAGACATTGAGACAAGATATCGAAACGTGGAAAGAGTTGTCGACACATCGAGCAGACGCTCGTACGAGAGGATCCCAGTTGGCCTCAATTGGTAGGCACTGAAGAAGAGCGACGAGGAAGATGGCAGTGGCCATGGCGGCATTGGCGATATTCAAGCCGTGGATGGTCCATCGAACGCCAGGCTTCTGTCCTCCAAGACGCAGAAGGAAAACCAAGATCGAGGCTCTGACGAAGGCCAACACAGGGTTGTAGAACATTTGTGCCATGAAGAACCACCACATGGCAGGTGACGAGTTGAAGGGTTGGGGAACATCAACGGCATGGTATCCGAAGTACATGAGCTTGATGTCTAGGCAGAGTTTAGTACACAAACGAGGCAACGAGAAGGCTCGGCGAAGCACTTACACATATAGAATGGTGGCGTCATACACACTGCGCATAGCTAGAAACTTCGTTAGCCAACAAGACCCTTTCCATTGTTGTTCTTCATTCGTTCGAATTTGCGTACCACTGCCATGCCGCATAACCAGTCGTCTAGTTCAAGTGTTAGCCCCCATGATTTTCCGACTGGCATAAAACCTGCTCCTCGGCCAACGTACCAAGACCCCATTGTCTAGTCGTAAGTCTGCTGTATGTTCGAGCTCCAAACACAACTATCGAAAGCGCCGGAAAGAAGAATGTGATGAAGATGGCGGCTTGCTGATGGGGCGGAGTCGGTATCGTCAATACGTCCGGGTGCTCAGGGCGCCGAGCAACAATCGAAGCATACTCCATGTTGAAAGATGGATGAATGGATATGATATGTAATCAGGCCTGCAAGAAGCAGCCGGGCTGCCTTGTAAAAGGAAGATCGGCCCCCAAGGCGAAGCTTTGACTGGCTCCTCAGTTGATGAGTCGTGCTGTCCAGTCCCAGGGCGCCGGGTCGTCGTGGGTAAGAGCCAAGAAATCTCACTGTCGACCAAAGCGAACCAGGAGAGAAGAGCGGTCAGATCGAGGGTAGCAGCGGGAGACAGGAAGGACCCTTTTCTTTATGTAGATCTCTGTGTCTTATTGAGAGGGTGATCCACGATGTCGCCACAGTTTCCCCCTCTCCGGGAAGACTAGGCGCTCCTGCTGCTTGAACCAAGTCGAACGACTGCGCTAAACATGATACACGGGAAAATAAGCTTGACAGGCTCTGAAAGATAACCGTTCACCCGTTGCAGAGTAGAGTTTTCTGCAGATCCCCAATGTAGACGGCGTGATCCTGACTCCTCTCGTGTTCCAAGGGTGGTCTGGAAGGAAGGGAAAGGGGGAGTCGTCTCTAGCTCCGTTTCTCTGCAAGGCACCGTGATCCTCCATCTCGAAGTCTGCATATCATTGGCTTCAGAGACATCTTTGCAACACAAGCGAGCGAACGAGAGAATCTTCTGCTCTCAAAGGTTGGGGCGGAGACGAACAGGAGCAAGGTCCCAGGTTGGAGGATAGTCTAGCCTATGTAGACCCTTGCTCCGCCCGCAAACCTCCGGTAGTGTGCTGCGCGCATATGAAATCCCGAGAGTGTTGAAGATTGCAAAGCCATCAAAGGGCCCCCACGCTGCCATAGTGTTGACTGCCGTTTGCGGCACGGCATGACTAGGCGAGAAGCCTTTTTTAACTTTTGAGACAACTGTTGGTTCACCCGTATGAAGTTGACAAGGCTCCCAAAGTGTCAGTGCTGAATATCAGATTCAAATATTATAGTTACCACCCGCACTGGACTATCAGCCTTAAGATCGGACTATCATCATCACATCAGAAATTTTCAAAGGCAATCTGCAGTCTCCGAGCTTCGGCAACAATTCCAGCTCCAAGGACTCGTTCCTCATGTCGTGCGTTGCATTTCCCTCAGGGGTTCGCATACGTATTCCTTGTCTGCCAAGCCGCTTAGAACACCATGCTCGGCCAAGAAAATGGCGTGTCTGGGCAACGCAAGGGAGAGAACAGCGGGTTGGCTTTCAGCCGAGGGAACGGACAGTTCGCAAAGCATCAAATCTGCCAAAGACCCTCTTTGAATTGCTTCCAGAAAACTCGGCCCAGTCTGTGTGTTGTTTAGTCGCGGCAATGAGTGCGCTACCAACGGCGTCTACGTTAGTTACGAACCGCCGTTGCAGATTCCGATGCAACTACGTGTATCCATCCGTACACTGGTCGCTTGAGGCCCGACAGTGCCAGTGCAGGTTCAATTTGAGCTCAACCCCGGACCCCAGACCCAAATTCACCGCCATTGCCGTTTCCCACTCTGTGTCGGTAGTACTGCGGTAGAAGCGGCTGGCCGAGTGCTAAATCGCACGGTAATTGTCAAAATTGTCTTTTGTCGATCTTTACCGCACATGGTGTCAGTGTCCTGTCAAGCACCCCGGCAAAGACTCTTCAACCCTTGCAAGCGAGAGAGACTAAGTTATGAAGCCCCTCACAACTACGGGGCAGTCGCGAACCCTGATTCATTTATGCAAAATCCCATTATCTCAGCACTTCCCTTCCGGATGGAGACGTCCTCCTTCTTGCCTCTTTTCAGTTCGGACATGACTTGTCTTTTCAGGCAGCCAAGTCCTGGCCTCGTGGCGTCGGCGTGGGTCAGGCAGGAAGTTCGTTGGATGAGCTTCTCTCGCCATCCGACGCTCCGAGACTTGCGTCGCCAAGAATTCGACAACAGGTCGGGGGTTAGGAACTAGGCCAATCGTGCCCCATGGCGATCTATCGACTTGAGTGAAAGAAAGTTTTGGCGGCGGTTTCTGGACTCTTAAGGGCCGGCTGGCTGTCACCTATTCCAGTCAATCAGCCGGTTCTTGTTCCTTGACCTGCCTGTGGGATGGTTACAGTAAAGCGACTGCCACCAAACTTTGGGCATCAATCAAGCCAGGATGCCATACGACGGC